ATGACATATTTGTTTACGTTTATAATTACACTTAACAAGTGTTTAAATTCTTTTTACAGGTGTATACAGTTCCTAACTGTTACATCGTTTCAATTTGACTTGTACTCCTTTCAATGGCACAATACAGCCAGATGTTTCTCCACAGAACTAAACAGACCTTTACGAAACGTTTTCGAATTGGCTCTTTTACAAATATCTAGTAATTTTTAAGAATAATTGTTATAATCCATTACTGTGATAGTGGTTTCCTTTATAAGTTTAATCTGAAATTGTATCAGCGTGTTTATCGTTAAAAGGCTATCGTTGGAATGATCCCATTTAATTTTAAACTTGACCCACATAAATACACATTGACCGAAGTCGGATACTGTAATGCTTTATCCTTATCTGCAGAGGATGGGAATTTTGTTATTTTCTTCCGAGCAAACACCGTTAATCGGACGCGGTTTGAGGATAAACAGCGCCAAAATGTACTGGATTTCAAGTAAAATCCATTTATTTCCTTGAAGTTTTGACTTTATACTATTCACAGCATAACACATGCACGTTTAGTCATTGTTCTCTATTGCAGTTGTTATCAGTAGCAGTTTGATACCATTTGAAGACAATGAAATTAATCACATGACACATACCATGTATGATTAATTTGCATGTTAGTATTTCAATCAAATGAAAAACACTTTCTGGAATTTTCAACGACACTTTAAAGTATGTTAAATGAAAAGTGCACGTAAAAACTCCACTAAATGTAAATAAAAATGAGTTTAAACTGAAACACTAACATTAACTTTACAACTGAAAAATCGAAAATAGACTAATTAAGATTAAGAAACAAAGTTAAAATTAGGGAAAATTTGCTTAAAAATTGTCCCAAAACAAAAAACCCCATTTACATTTACACAATACGCTGCTGGTGTATTTAAGAATGTATAAACAATAAAAATATGACTGAAGCTTAAAGTAAAAGTAGAACTTCATTAAGCAGACCAGTAACAAAAAATTGAATCTTGAAATAAATGAATGAATGAGAAGAAATGTTAGATTTATTATAAAGGAAAGGAGTTGAGGACCACCCTGTATATGTTTTGATCGAATAAACATCACAAGTTGTCACTAATATAAACTGCTCAACAAAATAAATGTTACAGAGCCAAATTTGACCTAACTTTGGTACTGGATAACTTTTGAATGTTTTGAGCTATTTGATGTCTGAAGCTTTATCCAGTCCAACTGTTTTTCTGTCAGGAAGCGTGTTTGCTAACATTTTGTGCTTCAGATAAAATTCGAACAAGGTGGAAATTAAAATAATGCAAAATTKCTGATAATTWTACATGCTCCCAGTTGYACAAAAAAATATGTTTATGAATTTCAACCCCAAAGGCATCAATCAAGGCCGTATATCTATCCTGAAAYGGTCTTTGAATTTTTCGTCTATCTCTTAGTATTTTGCAGAGTATTTTTTCTCTACAWTTCTTMATTCATCTTTTTTTTATCCTGTTGGTTTTGCTGTGAAAATATGTTAGTTAGTGTTTATAGATCGGATTTTCTACTTAAGTCGACTATGAAGTTTCAYGAGTTCACTATTTTGATAATCGGTCCAATATGAAGAATGTTATTACTAAAAACCCAAAAAATTGATTAGATTTTTGAAGCTCGCCCTGTGGGTAAAAGATATATGCAAAAAAGCAAAAATTATTTCGAGCTACGAGGTCTATGCCGTTTATTTTTCAAATTTGTCAATTAATCAAACTATCCATAGGAACTTCTTCTGCAGCACAAAACTTTTCCAAACGCACTTACTGACTGAAAAAAATTAGACTAGAAAATGCTTCAAACAGAAATCAATACGCTCAAAACAATCAAAAGGTATCCAGCACCAAAGTTTTTTAGTATTCAGCACCAAAAGACAAATTTGGCCGTGTACCGATTATTTTGTTGAGCAGTTAATTTTAATGATTAGAAACCCCAGAAGCTTTAAATAGAGCAACATGGATTACAGAAACATAGAGTTTGGGTCTGTTTCTTTGCAGTATCTTTGTTTATTCTCGCGAAATTTCCATTATTTAATAGTAAACTAGCAGGACACATTAAAATGATATACAATTCATTCATTATTAAAGTATCCTAATACAAATAATTCAAATGATTAGAAATCGAAATAAATCAAGTAAATTTCCACGCAAATTCTATAAAAATCGAGACGAGGACAAATCCAAACTGATCTCAAACCAGTAGTTTTTACAGACTTCCGAAGATGAAAGGAGGTCAGGTCTGATATGTTTTAACATTTAGCTCAGATCTGCATGTATGTAGGTGGTGTACTGAAGAGTTAGTAGAGCTTGTTATAAAACGCCCATGTGTAAAAGACATTAATAATAAAATCAATTAATTGAGAAAAAGAAGTAATAAAATGTAATGTAATGCTTCAAATTAAAAACAGTAACTAAGTATACATATTTCCAACAACCTTCATTATAAACCCATTGAGCGGAAAAAAATCTTAAAACTGGTGAGTTTTTCGGGCTTTTGGGCAGTCGTGGAAATGAATTTCTTGCTATCTAGGAATAAGCACGAGTGGTTTTCAGCTTCAGACGTTAACTTTCCTTATTTCAAAATCGATTTGCGGCTGTTTATTAAACAGACACATATTTCAAAAGCCAATAATACATAGATAGTTGATTTATCTGTGAAATATAATACCAACAATACTTTCCTTTGAATGATTCACCCGTTCCTGATGACTATTTGATCGTCATCGATCAAGCCAAAGTACATATTTTAATTTCGTAAAGTGTGTGCCCCCCTCTGTTTAGCACAGGTTTTTAGTGAGCGCAAACTATAATTATACTGAGTTTATTGATTGAGTTATAAAAACCACGATTCGAGGAATGGTTGTTCCTGGCTACAAAAATTTCCTAAACACAAACACAGCTTTCCAAGATTTCACGCATTTACCTGCTCCTCTGTTTAGTTATGAAGCCAGGCAATTCTGATTTATACCAGAAAGATGTGAAAAAATTGCAACATTCTTTATATGCAATTTATTACATTTGTACACTACAGGCCGGATATTTCTTAATACATTTTATACTCGTTTTAAACGTATTCATTATGTGGATTTATATACATACATACCCATGCTATTACCGAGGATATTGCAAACACGCTTTACATAAATAGTAATTATACACAAGCAGCAATAGCATTAGTAGTTCTCACTATTAAGTTTTCATTTTCTTCGTGGAATACTTCGGTTTGTATTCATGAAACCACGATGTTAGTGTTGATGTTACATAATGAATGTTTACTTAAATAATTTTCAACTCATCTTTTTAATGGTTTTAATATTATCTGATTAATTTCACTTTAACCTTTGTGAACTAATGCCTCTTCTCGACGAGAATATCTTCTCTGTCTCATAAATCTACAGAAAATCAGAGGTTGGAGTTAGAGACTAAGACAAATATGTGCAACAAAATATATATATTTTTGTAATTAAACAGATTGTTTGTGGAAAATGTATAAACTAAAATATGAAATTTGGTGTCTAGTTTAAACCTCGCAATAGAGTGACCGAATTTTTTGAAACCCGATTACACTATTGCAAAATTTTCACATAAAAGAATATTTTTTACAAAATTCAGCAATCTTTCATATTACTAGAGGGGAAAATATTTTGCTTTGAAAAATAGAGCCATTCCGAATTCTGGGTTTCACAAATCTTTCAGACAATTGTTTCGTTTTAACAGTGATTATATAAGATCTTTCGATGGTCCATACGTCATGAAACATTTTATGTATTTAAAGCAGTCTAATTTTCACAAAATTAATCATACACAGCTGAAATGAGTAAATTAGTAAGGTTGAAAAAATCAGTTCGTTTCACCTGTGATAATTAGAAAAATAATCCAGTTTCTTTATTGGAAATCTGCAAATAAACTAACTAAATATATCAGGGAAATGTGATTTGAATTTCGTAAGAATTCTAATAATTAAATGCACAAATAAAATATTTTATTGAGCAAAACCAGTTGTGCGAATGTAGAAACTAACATACAAATTAGTGTTAATTTTGGCAAGGTGTAGTTGATAAATTATCAGGTTTCTATTAATTTAATAGGGAAAATATTTATAGTTACCATTCCTAATTCCATACTTTTCTATTTTTATTTATTAGTAATTCCATCTTTTTTGGGGTATTTTATACAGCAGTTTGAATCAATAATGTCCATTTTTTTGGCTTGTGCTTAGTGTTGATACACTAATACAAATGATTTTGCTTTCCCCTATCAACTTTTTGAAGTCGTTTCAGAACTGAAGCAATAGTAGTAATAAACATATATTTTACAAAATGTCTCTTATTTTCCGTAACTATCTGAGACTTGATGTTTTTGATGTTCTTCCAATTGTTTTGAAAGCAAGTCTCACTGGTTTTTTAAGTATTTTTTCAATTATTCCTTCACTTTCTTTTCAATTTGATTACACCATTTTATTCTTCAGTTTATTTTTTTATGTGCATGTATTTTTCCTATGATGGTGTTTGGTACTGAGCCAAGTAGGTACTGTAAAGCTTCCACAAAAACGCGACGATTATCCTTAAAGCGATTTTTAATCCTTTAGTTGAACCTAAGGTATGGTGTACGAGTTGTGAGAGAAAAATTATTTAGCCAAATTTTTCCTCCGGAATTTCTGGGCTATTAAAAATAATTTGCGCATTAATAAGATAAATACACGTGATTGAAGATCAGACAAATAAACTTTATTGACTATCATTTTCGGAAGCTCAGACACTTAACAGAAATAATTTAACTGTACAATTCCTACTGTCTGCATGCATTATTTTCACTAAACTTAACAACAACAATTTAAAAAACAAACCACTTAAAAAAGGTAAAACTAAAACACAATACCTAATAACCGATGAAAGTAATTGAGAAAATAAATTAACTAAAACTAGAAGCCACAGATAAGAAGCTATCACATCTGATAAATGTACTCACCATTATTTTCAAATCAATAATCGCAAGTCGCAAAAAAAACAAATGATTTATCGAAGGTTAACCAGGAAGCAGACAAAGTTTCGATCAGCACTAAACCAAACAGATAAACACAAAAGAAGGACCAGTGAAAATGTTAACAAACATCAACGAAAATCATCTATAGCAAAGTGTAGCACCCCGTAATGGAAACACGCGGATATTGTAATGTTAACTGCCCAATGACGTCACACAATGTTCGAATTACTCGATGGAAAGTTGGCGAATGCGAATAACACGGAACCCAAAAGGTACCCGCTCGTTCTATGGCTAAGGTACGACTGATCGGACTGATTGTTATTTTCTGATTATCAAGCCAGCCATGAGTCAGGTATTCTGATAGTGTCTTGTTTTTGTTGTTAACATGCACACGATCTGGTTGCCTAGGTTACTCCTATGGAAACGTTTCTCCATTAGTTCTTCGCATAGTTGTGGCATTTAGCATGGAAAATGGAAAATAGACCAAATGCCACTGTACCTGCAAAGTTTACACCCAAAACTGAAAAAGAACTCGTTTAGTAAATCAGTTATTATTATACAGAAGAAGTTCAGAGCTTTGATGTGTATTTTTGTTATGAAAGTAACGATTAGTTTCGCTATTTGGATCCGAAAACGCCCTTTTCTAAATACAACAAAAATGGCTGGAACCGTTACATGCTCCATTTTTTTCTTTCTAAAAATATAAATGTGTTGCTCATTCTATCTAATTACAGAAAGTCTTTGAATTTTCAAATCAAACACAAACTATAAATCGCAACTTATTCGAAAAAGTTTGCGCCGTAAACAATTAGTAAAAAATTATTGAAATATTAATTGATTAAGTTGTGGAAAATTTTAATGAATATGACGAGCAAAAATTTAATCACTATTCAAAGAAAACCCAATTTATCTGCCCGGCTTTCAGCGTCTATAATTTCACTATTTTTGGGTCCATGCTTATAGAACAGATAACCATGATTTTGACCTCAAAAATTCACTTTTGAATGGGTTGACTGTTGCAACATTGATACGAAGTATATTGTTTTTAGTACGAAAAATCAGAAAATAATCGATGGAATTCTTCCGTGACTAACTCATAAAGACAACATTTTCAAAAGTCACTCTCTAAATGCTTTTCGCTCTATCTGAAAAATGTGAACAACGGTTTGGATGATAAAGGTTTTAGTCCCGACTGGTAACAGGTAGATGAAAAGGTGAGTCACTTGAAATATCAAGGAAAAATGGTACCAGTAGAACTGCGGCTCGATTATTCACTTAATACATTCTAGGAAAAAAATATTCAAACTTTTGCCCTTTTATTAAGGGTGGCAGCTTTCTCTTTAATAACGTACATTTTGAATCATTTTTTCTGCATTAAATGTGTTATTAATAATTAGCAAGCAATAAGCAGGAATTCGCACGCACTATAGTAGGTTTTCAGTTCTGCATATTCTAAAATTCTCACGCAAATCACACGTCGGATTTTTGGGCACCCTGCGAATACTGGGTTGAATAATATGAGTGCTCTCTCAAAAGCCTAAATCCATTTAAAAACGTATAACTTCCAATACAGTGAAGATAGCAAATTGAAATTTACCCACCCTATAGAAGATACCTTCTTCAAATTATAAAGCCGAACATTTTCAGCCCACTCTATACATGCTGGACAAAAAACGATTTATTTTTTTCAACAGCGCTCCCTCATATTAAAATTCATAACTTACAACCTATAGCTGGCAAGACCTTTGAAGGCAATAATAATAATATTACAATAATAATTAGAGCCGAAGATTATACTTAAAGCGGCAAACTCGAAAATTCTCACTCAATGCTCAATTTTTTTGGATTTGTATGGACTGTGGATGCCGATTCCAAATTAACGTTTTCTCTCAACTGTTTGACTCCAACTACCTTGAAAATTCATAACTCCTAAAGCGGAGCAGGAAGCGACTTGAAATTTGCGCAGAATATAGCAGAAACTTGCATCTTGAAGCACTGGAAAATTGACACAAATAGCGCGTAATTATAATATTTTTCAACTGTGTGAATGCTAAACCAAAAGAACGTTTTTTCTTTAAATTTTACGCGCTATATTGTCTTAAAATTCATAACTTACCCATATTAATAGGTGGCAACTTGTAACGCTGACAGTGTATCAAGCACAGTAGCTGCAAACACTCGATTTCTATCTCAATTCTAAAAGATTCTGATTTATAAACCTTATGAAATCAAAGCCCAATATGGACATATTTTTTCAAACCCTGCCCTTTGCCTTTCCTTTGAAAATTCCTACTTATGCGGGGCAGGTAGAGATTTGAAATTTACACACTTGAAATTTGCATATCTCTAGAAAACATTTAAATATTGCACATAAAACTAACTTTCTTCCTCAATCGTGAGCTATTTTTTGTAATTTATAACCGCCAATTCAGTGCATCAAGCAACTCGAAATTTGCACATCTATGGAAGATACTCGAAGCTGCCATTTGCGAAATTCTCACTCAAATCTCAAAGAATTCTGATTTTTTTCAACTCTACAAATGTTAAGAGGTTAACAATTAGATTCTGTTCTGTTGAATTAGTGTTCTTCTGTCAATATCAACTGCTATTTAAACAAAAAATTACCCAAGGTTTAAAAAATATTCTATTTATTTAATGCTAATTTACTTAGCTGGTTTTCACTCTTTTTTTAAGCATATCATTAAATAATCATGTAAATAAGATGTGATTTGTTCAAATATTTATTAACAGACTCGTAAAAATATTGACGCCCATAATAGATAATTTGTATGTGTATTTCATTTTCGGTCAAATGGATTTGTTCCTAAATGAAATTTAATAGCATTTGACGGCACTTTGTGGGGGCTGGCATCGGATAGGGGGCGAAAATGTGAGTCCCGACAAGCCGATAGAAGGCGCCTGCTTTTTGGTAATTTAACACCGTGAAAAGGCAACCGATTCCTACAAATCTGAACAAAATAACATAATTACACTCTTCTATGGAAATATAAGCTTGGAATTGCAACAAAATTTAGAAAGTTTTCTAAAGCTCTTTAAATTTGAAAATTATGGCAATATGATATAAAACGGTCAAGAAGAACCGACTTTTCCAAGACAGTTTTTCTCGATTTATATGCAGATGTATCACATTTTCTCCTGCGTTGCTGGACTCTTTTCCTTATTTACATTCATATTTCTAATAGAATTCTCTGATAACTCTAAATGCTTGAACACTTAGGCGCAAACCACCAAAATAAACAAGCACGAACGCTTAATAAAAACACACTGAATTATTTGGGAATAAAACTCAATAAAAAGGAGCTCATCCATGAGAGGAGAAAATAGTCAATAAAAGTTGAGGCAAGAAATTATGTGCTGTGTCCAGCTGTTTTTCCAAAATTGTCTCTTCCTATGTGTCAGAAGTTTCCTAGTGAAAATGAATGGTGAGACTCTCTAATTTGCGAATAGGATGCATATTTTTTCTGTAAATATTCGACATCCAGAATATGCAATAAAATTCCATCATAATATATTTCGCGTTTTATATCTATCTAATACTCAGTCAGCTGAGCTGGTTCAACCTCCTCCTCTAAAATCCTTTGTTGAACCGTGACAAATTACGTGATAACTTGATGGCGCTTATCAGTTTGCAGGCTTTGTTCCCAATATAAATAAAGATTATGTATGTATTTATTGGTTCAGTCTCAATTTGAAACATGCAAAACACAAAAACACCGCCTTTAACTGTGTAACCTTGCGGGCGTAAGAAGTGCTACGTCGCGACCCACGGAGGATTTGGGGCTACGCCTCGGCCAACCCCCTAGGACCGCCTTTTGAGCCTCCAAATTATTAGGATAACAGAAATCACTCAAGGATTTGCGTGCGGCTTAGTTGTGCAATAATTACATATCCATGTTGGCGTATACTCGGTATTAATGTGCCTACACATTGATAATGCGATAACGGATGGCACGAAGTTGCGCTTGAGTTTATTCGGCATGTGTAACTTGCGAACATGTAAAGGCGAAAAACGTTATTTTAGACCTTAAATTGGGTAAAAAACAACTAGAATTTTGTTAAAGGCTGAAATTGCATTATCTGTATATAATAATGCATGTGAAAGTCTATTAAAACCTGTAATATATTTTGCATACAGAAATTATTGAACAAAAACTCTGAACAACTGAAAGTTGGGTTTTTCTTATAAAACGTTCTGTACTTTTAATCAATCAAATCGCCTTAAAATTGCCCTAATTTTGCTTAAACACACTTGTGAAATGGACATTTCGTTAGAATTTAACCGACTAATGGAAGAATATTTTATTAGTAACCAGATGCATTTTTTAATAAAGCGTAACAACGTGAAAAATAAGCGGTAACATGCTGCAATAACATAAGAGCAAATGGAATCAAACAATTTATAGTATGTTATAGAATTAGCAATCTCTCGGATTAGGATAAAGCACCAAAAAATAGTATTACAAGTTTCTACGAAAAATGTTTTTGGGCCTCCGCCTATACAACGACAGGCCCTTAACGAAAGTCCTTAAAATTCGTCGTTTAGAACCAACTTTTTAAGTAATTGATCAAACCTTTCTATATGGTTAATAATTAAAACAATGTTCAAGCCTTATGGAGAATGGTACAATATTTTTTTGGCGGAGCTAGAAAAACATATGATTAGAAAAAACCTCAGCTATGCTGAAAATGCATGCAAAATTTAAGACCTTAAATAAAATAAAGCTTTTTCAAAAACCGGCAATTTTATCGAACTCTACTAAGAATATTGTGTTTTTCTTCATTGTTTCACCTATTTAAAAATAGTAGTTGTGTCGATTTGATACTGGGTGCTAAAAAAGTGGCCTCAATGTGCTGAAGCTAGTTCGAATCCTGCAAGTTTTAAAGGGTCTCTTTTGCTTCTAATCATCTAAAAAATAATTCATTATACGAATTATTTGATACTTTATTAGAAATTTTCGGTAATTTAGATAATTATTAACAAATTAGAGATTGCTCACCCATTCTGGGACACTCTGTATATGAATGGGACTAGAAAGTTTGATCAGTCGGAAAATTTGTTTCAATTAACGATATCTTATTTAAAGAAATATGAAAGATATAGTTTTTTCTTATAATAGGAGCGAAAAGGAAAAAGCACAAATTTATTACAATTGGAAAATATAATTTTTAATATTTTTCTACAGTGTGTCTTTTTTTCTAAATCTATTGTGATGTATTTCTTGTTTTCTTCGATATTTTTCCCGATTTGTCACAGTTAAAAATGAATTAAATTAAATACAAAATTCTGCATCGTAACCAACGCTCTAAATGTAATAGTAAGACTCAAAATGAAAAATT